GGGTCATTTTTAAACAACAGCGCAAATAGTAGAAAGGTATATAGATAGAGTTTGTTTAGCAAAGAAATTGGACTATGCGTGTATCAGTGCAATTAGTGAACAATGCTTTTATTAATTAAAGTAATATATATTAAAAACCCAACAACTTTCTTAAAAATATAGGTACGGGTAAGATGCTGAATATTAAAAAAAGAACGAAAAGCTAAAAGCGATAGCTTTAAAAAAAGATTACATATAATTGACGATTGTGCGATCAACTGACGGAAATTTATTTAATTCGATTGGTTTGAGTCAAAAATGATATGATTGCAAATTAATGGTTGGTAAGCTTACCATGAGCACAAGGAATTTGTTAGACATTCTGCGTAAATGCATTTGATCAATCGACATTTGTGAAAATTCCAGAATAATCGGCGTATACAGTCGAGACCGTTTTGAACAATTGACATTGTAACGATTGGTAGGCTTTCATGAACGCGAACAATTTGTTAGACATTCTAAGCATTTGGATATATGACTTGGCTGATCTGCGCAATGTGGATTTGAATTTAGCCAATAAAAAATGTTGACATACGTAAATCGAAAAAACGTATTGGTAAGTTACTCACGACGATAATGATAGATAGTCCTATATAAACTTTTGGTACGATAGAAAGAAAGCAAATATATAATGATGAACAATACGGATGAAAGACTTTTGAGAAATCGGTTGACAAATTCCCGAACATGGGAAGACATACTTGATACTAGAGATAAAATACAACGTATTAGTATAGTAAATAAAATAATTGACATAAATTTGAATGGTATTATAATACAATAGTTACGTATAATTTTGATAATTACCGTGTAGTAAATTTTCACTTTCATCACTTGACGCACGATCTTAACCTGATACGTCGATTACACCATTTCATTCGCCGTTTACGAATATCTTTCCCAGATTAATATTTTGCACTAACCCAAGCTATAAGTATAATATTAAAATTCAAAGGCCGTTTTTTGTGGCGATCGTTTCTGGAAACAGATAAATTTTAAATAAAAGGATAAATCTGCGTAATAGTAACACAAGCGGAAGACGAGACAAATAATAATAATAAGAGTTTGGATCTTTAAATTATGTTGATTAAATATTGCCGAACCGCTATAAATTATTGAATGAAGATAAAGGTTACTTAAAGTGAGATTTATAGAAGTATCTAATACTAACATAACGCTTTCATTGTCATCTCCTTCATCCACATTGACTTCGGTATTATCTACCTCTAAAAACTAAGGTATTCTTTCGTTTTACAATTATTTAATAAAGTTTTCTATTATCAAATTGTAAGTGCAAATCTATATATAAATTCGGTTTAGTGTAAAATTAGTAAAACGAAAATCTCGACTGAATAAATTGCCTCTGTTTGCCTTGTATATCAAGATATTAATAAAAGTACCCCTAAAATTTATTTACATAGACCCTGTAATTAATGTAAATAAAATTGCTAACGATTAAGAATAGTAATAGAATATTTTCAAAATTAGTAATAGTAATAACCTTATGTTAACCACCTACAGTGACGCTGTTGGAAACAATGCAACTTTGTGTAGACCATGCCCTCGTTCGGGAGATGTAACATAGAATTATATCGTATGATATATTATCAACTAACTATTTCCACGTAAACAATACAGGTTTACAATCCTCAAACGAAAAAAAGAGTGAACGTATGACTGTATTGTTGGCTAAATTTGTTATTTACCTATTACACTTACCAATGACATCACATAAGTATCCCTTAATCTGTAGGCCTATTTTGACAAATTTGACACTTATTTTTGTAGTGTAATTTTAAGAACATTATTACTATGTTACTTGCATTTTGACGATTATAAAACATAATTTACCTTGTTTTGAACATTTAAATGAGCTGACTTGTGTGGTGAATGGATACGTGGTTAAAGAGTAATGCGTAATTCAGAATAAAGTTTGCTAAGTCAATGGACTCATTACTAAGTATTGACGCTATGGAGCCACGGCTGACAATTATGGTGCAATAAATAATAATTCAGATGCTCTATAGCCAAAGCTGAAATCAATTGATTTCTATAATCGTAACCACACTTCTTGCTTTTACCACATCCACTTTAGTTATAATTACGCCTTGCATCATTATGAATATTGACGAGAATTCAACTGGCCATTACCACTAAGAATAAGTCCTATGCTCATATTTGAAATTCAAACACCCAATGATATCAGATCAGCAATATTAACCTGGTAAATAAACCCACCCAACCAAACTAACTGTTATTGAATAAAATCATTCCAAGCATCTAAGTACATCATTGAAATACAAGTTTGCTCCACAGTCAAGAACTATGTGTTCGTTCCATTGCATTTTGTACCATAGCGCTGCACCGAAAGCCACGCCTATATCCCAATGACTAAGATATGGCACTATTAAAGAACGACTTGCGGATGCCGTTGCTACGACAGAGGTAGCATCAGGGTTTGGATTTGCCGGAATGGGCGATCGATAAGAAATTACGATCAACACAAACTCTGTGTTTGGACAATATCGCTGAACATATGCGATCTTGCTTAAGGCATTATCACGATCGTTACTCCGATCGAACGCTACCTGTAATATTTAACAATTTAATAAGGTTGTCAAAATTAGAGGTATATATACTTTCAGAAGAAACTATCATTACCTCGATCCATAATAATGGCGGCGGGGTTCGATTGATTATAGGCTGGAACCTTTCCGCAAACGTTGGTCTTGGACTCCATCCCCCTACGTCAGGTCGAAATTCGTTTCCATTAACTACAGCTATCCCATCACTGCAGACCAACCAGTTTGGAAGTTGTGTCCAGATCGAAGACGCCAAAACTAAATGTACTTGTCCTTTCCCACAACCGTCGCACTAAATCATACAAAAATAAATCAGGTGATAAGAGATACGTGTCAAGCAAAAATGACACCTACTTTGATAAACAGCTTATTATCAATTCTTTCGGCTTGAAAAACGGCGTGTATAGCTTCGAGAACTTTTTCGCGTTTTTTAGTTTTAATCGTTGGTAGGTCTATTTCTATAATCTCTAACTCCTCGGAAGCCGCGTCTCTCGCGTGTCTAAGTTTCTCTTCGATTTGACTGATAGCCTAAATACCGAATCATAGTCAAGACTTATTTATTATATCCAGGAAATACTTTAATTAAATACCTTTGATTCTGCGTCTTTTACGAAGATTTGAATTACGTTTTTTAGGGAAAGTTTTTTGGTCATATTCTGGACGTAAAGTTTTTGTAAATGTTATTGGAAAGGATAGTTGCTAAAGTAAAAGGTGGAGTGATAAGATTGATAGGAATATTATATATACAATCGCACCTGTCTATTTGCATAACGTATATTTGCATTTGCCTAAAGGAGCCCCAGTCCCTTATTGGGACCTATTAGCTATTTGCATATTGCATACTACAAAAGGAGATATCAACCAGAATTTTATTATTATTGTGGCGTAAAAAATTACCAAATACACCACTTCATTAATTCTTTTTTGCTTTTTAAACAGATTTGGTAACGTTGTTGATTGCTTGATGTAGTGTTCTTCATCATAAAATGATTGCGATAACGTATTTTATGAGGACATAATAATAGTATCAAATCATGTGATAACGTATATTTGCATATTCTGTCTATTTGCATAAAAATCTACAGGTCCCGGCAGTATGCATAGCAGGTGCGACTGTATACTGAGATCATTGACAAGTGTAATAGGTAAATGCCAAATTTAGCCAACAATACAGTCATACGTTTACTCCTTTTTTTTTTTGCGCATCACACAAACCGGTGTTATGCAGAAATAGCTAATATTACTACTATACTTCTTATTTATGCACAAATAATAAAAGTCCCATGGCTTGTTCTATATTACATCTCCCGAACGAGGGCATGGTCTATATAAAGTTGCAGTGTTCCCAACAGCGGGTTGACTGTATAAGGTTATACTATTTCTAATATTCTATTATAATAGTAATGCCTCTTTATATTTACTGGTTGATGGAGTGTCACTATTTATGGAAATGGGTATTTTATTATTTATTGAGAAGTTGCACAAAAAGAATTCTAATATTAAAGTATTTGACATTACATGATTAAATTGTAATTGTTTTTGGTTTTGAGAGTGTTATTATGTTGTAGGATGACAATTATCATCCTTAGTATTATACAGTTACAGATAAACGGATGTATACATTTTAATCTTCAATAATTGATTTATCTACAATTATTTACTATGACTAAAGGCTATAGCTTTTTGAGTCCATTAAGCTCTCAATCTGTAACGCAAATAGCACACATCGTTATCGAAACAACCGAATGTCTGCATCGTTCGTTGGATCATTGGTGCTGGAAGCATTAGTATAGCAATAGTATTCCGAATCGTTGATTTATTGACACCTTTTCCAAGCATCACAGTACATTCATTTGCGCGAATCTCACGCATGAATAGCTTACCAATACTACACATACATCTAACTTATTAATAAGATAGTCCCGTACAAATCGTAATCATCCTATTTATTTTTATCATTCAAGACGTAATCAATCAAGAAATAATTCATTTCCTTGATCGATTTTAAAAGTTCATGTCACGAAACTTTAAAAACAAACGCGTTCCCACAAAAAATGCACAATTCACATGCATTGAGAGCGATGTTTACCCATTTAGATGATTCAACAACTTGCGATTCAGTCGCTTTATGATTACAAGCAAGACATGATCGCATGTGCATTCCGGGTAATATTTCAAATGATATCGAACATAACCCTGCAAAACGAAATTACATTATTGTCTGCTTGAAACGTATTGAATACAGCAAGTAGAGAGACTTACTCCATAAATGTCCCTTTTCACAGACTCCACCCGCTCCTATTTCTAATAAAATCATCTTAACGCGTTCGGTTGGGAATTAAGGATCAAATCATACCGAGATGAAATATGCATTACGTATCAAAATGGCGATTTTTGAAGGATATCACTTGTGCAGATAGGACACACGCGTCGTGCGGGAATTTGTATATCAACATCCATAGATCCATTAGATACCAACAGTTGTGAAACTATACTCTTTTCCTGCTCGAGACTTCCAAAGTCGGTCGGTGTTTTCCCCATAGCTTCATAGACAGATTGAGCTAATTGAAGTAAAGACTTGTCGTCCTTGTGACGCAAAATTGCGTAATCACACGCGCTCAATACAAACCGTTGATCTTCGACTAAGAGTGAATAAATCAAAATAGAATTATTATTCACATAAACGGGGATTCTCCGTGTCAACCCACTGCCCCCCGTTTAAACTCGTTAGACAACGAGGCAGATTAAGTGAACCGTAAACTCACCAGTCTAGTCGAAAGTATTCTTACCATAATCTATGATGCAACCGACACTAAGAGCATAGTTTGTCACTTTTAAAATAATGTTCAGCTGCTGCTTTTCAATCAGTGATATGTGCTCATATTTCATTCCTTCTGATTTGGATA